CATGGATTTTACAGGTGAGTTCCTCTCATGGGTTGAAGTCCAGCCCTCCACCTGAGGCACCACACACAAACTCACACAATACTGGATCTTGAGTGGCAGCTCCAGAACAGCCCCTTAAATTTTACCTCCAATTCAGTGGGGAGAGCAATGGGACCAAAATCATCCAACAGCTCAGGAGAAGCCTTCCAAAAATACGTTGGAGAAGATTAGACATTTCTAGTTAGGTTCAAGCTACAAAACAATAGCTTTTTGGTCACTAGCATGAGCAAAGCTTTTTTTCTCAACAGAAGTTTTTGTCTCAGTTCCTTGTATAGTTGTATCAATGGGGGCGATACAAAATTACCTCCGCTGCCATGGTCTGCCCCACAGTAATATATGGCTTCATCTTCTGCCTGGACGTTGGTGATAGTTAAAAAACGATCGGTGCCAGATTTGGAGCCAGAAAACCGATCTGGAATCCCTTCCCCTCTGTCGCCATCCGTGTCCAGCACGAGCCTAGGGCTCTGCCCTGCTTTCTGCTGATACCAAGAAATGACATAGTTTTCATAGCCTCTGCTCAAACTGCAGACAAGCCTTGCCGTATTTCTCAGAGCGACAGATTGAGAAGGGTCCTGAGTGAGTACAGGCTGTGAATCGGCCCCTAGAAACAAAGACAAGAATTACCAACTGCACATTCTCTCCTACCCTTTTAAAACAGGGTATTTTTTTAGTTGATTTTGAAAGTTAGAGCCTTCTCCCCTCACCTGAGCAATACATGAGAACTGGGAAGAGAAGGAGAGTCAAAGCCATTGTGGTTAAAACCGATAGCACTCTTTGTCCTAGGACAAGGTAGCTGGGGTTACATTCTCTCTTTCCGTCTTAATTTGTTTCAGGAAAGATGCCCCATGCAAATCTGTAACTTGCTGATTGGTTGCAAAAATTGCTAAAAAGACCTCCTCTTCTCACAACAGAGGAGAATTCACTAAGAGTCAACATGTGTGTGGGTGGGCCTTCAAGTTGGTGTTGACTCTTGGCGGCTGCCTGGACAAATCCCTGCAGTTTTCTTGGTGAGATTTCGGAAATGGCTTGCCATTGCCTACTTCCTAGGGCTGAGAGAAAATGACTGGCCCAAGGTCACCCAGCTGGCTTTATGCCTAAGGCATGACTAAAACTCAGAGTCTCCTGGTTTCTAGCCTGCTGCCTTAACTCAGGGTCCTCCAAAGTGGTCAATATTGACTCCCAAGGGTCAATGAGACTATCCATCATTCTTGTTATTATTCCTCTTGCTATTAGTTATAGCATTTATTAAATTATTTCCCTATAATAAATGGTTGGGGGTCGATGAACAATCTGAAACTTCATGAAGGGGTGGATGAGCTGAAGAGTTTGGGGGCCTCTACCTTAACCACTACACCAAACTGGTTCTCTTAAGTGTCAAAGGGGAAGGGGTAAAATGTTTCAAATCACATGGTCATTCCAAGAAGAGCTGGATATAGGAAGACGCTTCTCTGCAATGGAATCGGTGTTTCTCTAAGCACAGAGCATCTTTCTGGCTAAAGATGAAAGAAAGCTAGAAGTGCAATCCCCAGCCACCTCCCCACTTTAAAAAAGAGGAATCACAATACCCGTCCACCGCTAGAAACCAGGAGACCATGAGTTCTAGTCCTTCCTTAGTCACAAGCCCAGCTGGTGACCTTGGGCCAGTCCTTCTCTCTCAGCCCTAGGATGGGGAAATCAAGGGCAAACTATTTCTGGAAATCTTGCCAAGAAAAATGGCAAGGACTCATCCAAGCAGTTGTCAGGAGTCAAAACTGACTTGAACATACACACACACACACACACACACACACACACACAGACCAGTTGTCAAGTCCATGATGTCCAACTCTCAGTTCTGAAGCATTCTCACGCAACCAGGCTTGGTT